TCCCCAGTGACCCCCTGGAGCTCGTGGTCTCAGGTGAGGGCCCTGATCCTGTCCCCTCTGAGCTCAAAGGCTCAGCTCAGGCCCAGGCCCCCGGAGATCTCAGCTGGGATGGACCGAGGGAGGCTTAGCCAGAGGGGACACAGCCCTCAGAGGGGAGAGGCCAGCAGGGGTTCTCCTAGGCATGGCCATCCCTTCTCCTTGCCTGGCATGCAGAAGGTACCAGGTGGGCAGAGAAATGGTTCCAGGAATCCACTGGGCGGATGCAGGAGAGTGGGAGCGGAAGGGTGCACTCCATGGACGGCCCCAGCCCCTCACCTGCCTCCGTGCTCCTTGCAGGACCCTCTGGAGACTCCAGCCCCCCACCCACAGGGCCACGCTCCACACCTGGTGAGTCACTGAGGCCTCTTGGGGAGCGCGGCCTCCCCCAGGGCAGTCTGAGTCTCCCGAAGGATCCCATTCCCCTCCCCACAAGGACAGGCTTGTGTCCCAGGGACTCTGAGGCTGGGCTGCTGAGGAGGGTGGGGTTCAAGGCAGAGGGAGGTGTTGGTGCCCAGCTTGGGGGAGGAGCCAGGCTGATATGGGGGGCAGGGCAGCCCCAGCCCTCACCTCTCTGTCCTGACCCAGAAGGCCTTGAGGACCAGCCCCTCAACCCCTCAGGGTCAGGCCCCCAGAGTGGTGAGTGGGGGCTCTGAGAGGGAGGTGGGCAGGGTCCAGGGGAGGCAGAGGTGGCTTCTGTCCTAGGTTTAGCCTCCTCTGGAGATGGTGACGTGGACAGGCCCCTCCCCTGCCTGGGCCTCAGTTTCTCCAGGTGTAAAGCAAAGAAGCCTGCGGGTGGGAACGTTCCTTTCAGCTCTGACTCCCAGCTGTGACCTCCTGGGAGAGGAGGCCTCCCAGGGAAGCCTCCCAAACCCGATTCCACAGGGGCTTGTCCTGTCCCACCTGCAGCAGTGACGGTGACCTGGGGCAGGGGAGGGGAGCAGGGCTGTGGTTCAGGACGGTCAGGCTCTTTCCCTGCATCTCTGGGGCTCAGCTCTGGTGCAGGGAACAAGGGCTGCGGGTCAGACTCCCGGGTTTCCTTCCCAGCTCTGCCGCTTCCTGGCTGGGGGTCCTGGGGCAGGCGATTCCCCTCTCTGAGCCTCAGTTTGTGCATCTGTGAAATGGGTTGTGGGGGCGGCAATTCCATGTTGCACAACTGCTTGTAAGGGTTGGAGGTCTTGAAGGAAAGACCTGGCACGCGCCTGCACACAGTAGGTGCTCACAACAATGACGTCATTCCCACTCCTGTTATCATGCTCAAGGTCTGGGGAGATACCTGGAGGCTTTGATTGGGGTCTCAGTGGCCTTCATCCTGCTGCTCTTCCTCCTCCTCTTCCTTGTCCTCCGACGTCAACGTCAGAGCAAACACAAGATATCGGGTGAGTAGGGAAGTGGGGACCCCATGGGCCGATGGAGGGTGCACCAGCCAGAGGGAACCCAAACACACGGGGTGTCAGTTTGGAAAACCGGTTCCAGGGAAACGTAATGTCAGCATGCATTTACAAACTTCAGTATTCATGGAGTTTTTTTCTATCTCATAAAATATTTGAAACATCGATGCAGGAATATTTTTAGTTTTCTTTTTTCCCCTCAAGTTGCATGTGTAGAATGGGGGTTCTAATGTCTCCCAAGGGCTGAGACTCTGTCCATCTTCACCCAGACCAGAGGAAGACTGATTTCCAGCGTCCTGCAGGGGCTGCGGAGCCAGAGCCCAAGAACAGGGGCCTGCTGAGGAGGTAATTGTGCCCGAAGACCCCAGACTCCCACCCGCCCCAGCCCATACACCGCCCCTCACACTCCCGCCTCCTCCCCCAGGCCCAGCGCAGCTGCTGCCGTCCAGGAAGAAAACCTCTGTAAGAGAAAGCGAAGGGACAAATGGGGGTGCTGGGAAGACCCAAAATTTCAGTAGCAACAGGGAGGGGCTGGGAAGGGTCTGGGGCTCCGTGGAAGATGGTCTCGCCCCCCACTGTGGGACCTCCCTGGATCGCAGTGGCCCTAGTGGGAGCTGGGCAGGGGCCGGCGGGACTCAGAGGTCTCAGGGATCCTTCCCAGGAGACAAACCCCTTGCTCTGTCCCTGCAGATGCTGCCGTGAAGGACACACAGCCTGAGGACGGGGTGGAGCTGGACAGTCGGGTGAGACCCCGCCCCTGTCCCGGGCACCAAAGACCTCCTGGTGCCAGATCTAATCCTGCAGGACTTCTCTGGCCTCTTCCCCTGGCTCTCAGCATCCTCTCCTCCCTCCCCACTGTCCGAGGAATTCCTGGACACAAAGGACACACAGGCGGAAGAGGACAGGCCGATGGACACTCAGGCTGGTCCTTTCCTCTCCAGGCCCCCAGCCCTCCCCCACCCCCGTCACGCTCCTTCCCTCTCACTCTCCCCCACTGCAGGCTGCTGCATCTGAAGACCCCCAGGATGTGACCTACGCCCAGCTGCAGAGCTTGACCCTCAGACGGGAGGCAACTGAGCCTCCTCCATCCCAGGAAGGGGAACCTCCAGCTGAGCCCAGCGTCTACGCCACCCTGGCCATCCACTAGCCCGGAGGGGACCCAGACCCCACACTCAGCAGAAGGAGACTCGGGACTGCTGAAGGCACGGGAGCTGCCCCCAGTGGACACCAGTGAACCCCAGTCGGCCTGGACCCCTAACACAGACCACGAGGAGATGCTGGGAACTTGTGGGACTCACCAAAGATGACTAATATCGTCGCATTTTGGAAATAAAGCAACAGACTTCTCAATAATCAATGAGTTAATAAGAAAAAAAAAAAAAAAAAACAGACGTAAAGGCCAGGTGTGGCACTCGGGAGGCCGAGTCGGGAGGATTCCTTGAACACAAGAGGTTTAGGCTGCTGAGGCTGCAGTGAGCTATGACTGTGCCACTGCACTCCAGCCTGTGTGACAGAGGGAGACAAAGAAAAAAGAGTGAGTGAATGTTTTAAATTCAATGCAACAGGTGAACTTGAATAAGTAATATTAGCCATGAAAGCCAGTCAGGAAAAAAAGGTCACATATGACGTGACCTTCCTCAATTTAACAGGCACAACTACCCTCCACCGCGCTGGGTGTGCCGTGCCGCTGCACCCGCCTGCAACT